GGATGCAATATAGAAAGGACATCGTAAACTGGACTAGGAATATAAATTAAAATCCTAACAGCATGCAATTTTGTAGACCCAAAATGAATTAATAATTTAACGATGATCACAAGGTTAAAAAAATATTCAAATTTTTTTTTCGACATTATTACTATAAAAAATTTTTGTGGAAATTAATATTCAATATTATAAATAAAATGATAATAGTCTTATACAAATTGAATAAATTTTGTTATGGTATTTAGAAACTGAAATAAAATAAATTTTATAATTTTTAAAATATCTCTGCATTTTTAATTTATATCATACCTATTAAAAACAGGTTGTCAAACTGTTGACAAGATAAAATGTTAACAATTTTGGAGAGCAAAGTGTGTCAATTTAAGACTAATAAAAAACAAATTTGCATGAACTTGAGAAGAAATTAAGTATTAAATTTTGATATATTTGGTTTTAATAAACTCACCCACTTTTTAAACAATAATTTTCCAAAAGAACTAAAACCATTAATTTCTTATTGGTTAGAAATAATTTCAACACAGTTGATGGACTTTTCAAGGAATCTTGTTTATTAACAAAAAAAAAAAATCGGTGAGAAGATTCTGATTTAGAAACAGAGTATTTTCTTATCCCTTGCAAAATAATGTAAAAAATAGGTTAAATTTACCAAACAAGAAAATTTCTTCATAAAATAGTATTACAGAATCGTAACTATTACTTAGTAAGAATTAATTTTACACTAAGAAGAAAATTAATTGATAACCTACCATTGCGGAATATCAAGTGTTGAATGGGCATTTCTGAGTTGAAGATATATAAATAGACAGTATCACCAAAAAAGGGTACTATTTGAAAGTCAAGGACATAAGATCAAGATACCATCAAGCTTAAAGGGCAAGACTTCAATATTAATTTTCTGTAGATAGAAGCACAGGCCAGCTTACAGTTCAACAAAATAGTTAACAACCTAGCCAAGCAAATCATTGACTCTGGACAGTATACAGCGTGTTTCCAAAGTAATCTGAAATATTGTTTTGTGTGATTCGTCGTTCAATTTTAAGACGAAAAGCTCCTATAAACATGAGTGAGAGGTTTTGTCGTTTATGAGATATTTAGATAACGTTTTTCCACACCGTTGTATGGGACAAGAATCTCCATGCCCATGGCCCCCAAGGTCACCTGACCACAATACTTTGGATTCTTCTAGTATCTGTGGATATTTAAAATCACTCTTTTACATAAATCCGATCTTAAATTTAGAAGATATTTAAAGTCGCATCTTACAAAAATGTAATGTTATTCATTCTGGGCTCTTCGAATGTATTCGGCAAACCTTTAGACATCGAGCGGATGCTTGTAATTTAGCTGGAGGTGCACATTTTAAACATCTGCTATGAAATGTAATACTACTTTTATGTTTATGTTTATCCCATTTAGTGATGCCGCGAGACAAGACGAGACGTCTCGTAGGGCGAAAGAAAACTGTTCTCTCGTCTTGTCTCGTCTCGTCTCGTTTCTCTCGTGATAAAACAATGTCAAATTTAAATTTGAAAAAGACGAAACGAAAAAACGGTAAAATTTGTAAGACAAAAACAAATAATTTTTCAAGTAATTTGCGCATTAGTACCCAAATTTGGCAATAAGAAACACTTATGTCTCTCTGTCTGTCCGTCTCTCACAGTCGTTTTACAATTGAAATTTGAAGTAATAAGTGGCCCAGAGTGGGCGTTAACTAAAAACGAAAATACTTTGTCTTGTAAGTCAGTTGGGGAGGGGGAAAGAAGTTAAATTGAAAGTTAGAATTTTTCTAATGCAATCCTTTGATGTCAAATGAAAGCATTTTGTAGTATGTTTTTAAAATGCAAGAAGATAGAAACATAAAACAAAACCGATGTAAAATTAGAGAAACATTATGATATTTTTGTTATAATGAAATGCACTTTACTTGAGGCGTAAAATAGAGGGCGTTACCATCTTTAAATTTTCTAATGGAAAGTAAAGTCATGTAATACCTCATTTAAAAGATATTTTGATTATATTTACGTCCAAGCAAACAATTTTAATTTATTTTTATTTTTACAAAAAATACATTTTTGATAATCCTCGTGTGCCGCAATTATTCTAGAAATGTAAGATAATGTTAGAACATAATTTTTTAATAAGCTTTTTTGCCAAGAAGTTATGAAAAATTTAATACGTCAAGTAGTTTTTAAATCACCTTTGATATTCTTAATTTATTTAATTTAGTAAATAAAAGAATCGTTTCCTTAGTAATAAACAATCATTGTTAATACGAGTTATCAGGAATTTAACTTATTAGTAAAGGCCCAGAACATGTCTGTATAAGAACAAAGTACCAGCTACAAAAATTTGCCATTTGTGCAGTGTTAAATCCCTCTAACAGTAAAAAATTACTTAAAATTATAAAAGATACTGACATTTTGAGGATGAAGCGGTAAATAAAAAGAAGAATTTAACCTACTTTATGAATTTATTTAATGTAATTTCTGGACAAAAATATAATATCTCTTGAGTTTTACCTCGTTTTTGTTTCCTAATTATCCTTTTTCATTTAGAAGTTAAAATAGGAAAGGGTACAATTTTCGTCCTCACTGTATATAATACATTCGTTTATATTACCTTTTCTTTAACAGTTTTTCGAAAAACGCCTAAAAATTTTCAACTTATCTTCAAAAGTAACCTCAGAAAAGCAGAATGGATTAAATATAAGAAATGATTGTATAAATTTTAAATAAATAAAATAAGAAATATGTTTTCTTATAAATCACTATTTATAAAATCCTAATTACACAAGTATCATTTGTTATCATTTAATATGTATAGAATAGGTGTGTTATAGTTAATTTTTTGACTATCTCGATATCTTATATGTTAAAATGTTAAGTTACGATAAGCAATTGAAAATTTCAAATGAGCAAAAAGAAAATTGTTCGAGAGAGCCCGAGAAAACTCGAGAGAAACGAGAAATTCTCGTCGAGATATGTCTGTCTCGTCTAGTTCGAGACGAGACAAGACGAGACGAGAGACGAGAATCTCTCGTCTCGCGGCATCACTAATCCCATTAAAATAATAAAAAAGTCAATATCATGTATCTCATAAACGACAAAACCTATCACACAAAGGAGCTTTTCGTCTTAAAATTAAATGATGAATCGCCTACAACAATATTTCAGATTACTTTGGAAACACCCTGTATAGAAAATAATATCAATATATTCGAATAAAAAAAGAAAGAGAGAAAATTGGAAAACCTCGCGGAAACAATACTGCAATGACCCCCCAACCCGTTACGCTCATACATTAGCAGACTAAAATTAGGACATGCAGGCTACCCTCTCCATTTGAAAAAAATCTGTATACAAGACTCTAATCTTTGTGACAGTTGCAATATACTAAGCGGCTTAGATCATATATTCATCGGATGTTACACATTTATAAATAACAGCGATCAACTCGTTACACCTTCCCTTTAATTTAATATACTTCCTGTCCCTTACAAACCATCGATCTACAACGCCCTCCTATTATTTATTCAGAAAAGTAAGTTAAAACTTTAAAATTAGGTTAGACCAACAATGTTACTTTACCTTAAAAAGGTCCTCATACCGTGGTCTACCTATTTTATGTTCGTCAGTCACCCTGACCGACCCCTGGGTGTGAATAGTTTATTCCTAATCCCATCCTACTTAAAATTATTATTTAAAAAAATTCTGTATTGTCGATTAGGTTATCTTTAGGTTAAATTATTTAATATATTTTTATAAAAAAAAACGAAAAATAATTTATTATATTAAAAAAAATTAACGTATAAACAGGTTCGCTGGAGCAGAAGCCGATGTGCCCGTGTCTACTAAAATAGTTATGGCTGGCTAAATGGGTATGTCAAACAAATCAAAATATTTACTTATTACTGAACTAATATTAAAATTTTGGCATTATAATCACTATAAACAACAAGTTTGATAATGATTCTTGCCAGATTTTAGATTGTAACTACCATCTGTGTGAAAGTAAAAAAACTAAAAATATATATTATTTAAAATTTAAATTGTGTAACATAACTTATGTCTATTTAAAGAATGTCTGAGGATGGATTTATGCTGAGAAATAAAGATGTTACAATTATATTTATTAAAATCTTTGAGGTTAATAAATGTAATTCTTAGTTTTGTATTTGGTATGGTTTTATTGTAATAGGTTGACAATCTTGGAAAATTATCGGAGCGTCTCAAAATAAATAACTTGTATACAGAACGACCAATATATTTGAATCCACAACTTAAAGATGATTGATGGTGCCATTTGACATACAGATGAGGAAAACCCGGAAGACTTGACCCATCATCATCGAAACGGTAACGCATGGCGATGGTATACAGACGAAGTTAAAAATGTTTAATAAGAGTCTTATTAAAATAAACAATAACAATTTAACAATTTAAAGACAGGAAATTTTCTTGAAAATATTAATAAATTTTATGATTAAATATAAGTCAAACAATACATTAAACAGAAGATAAAATAACAATAAAATCGATTACAACATTTTAATAATATAACTGTAATTGTCGTTGCCAACGTGGGGCAACAAAGTATAATTATTATGTAATAAATAAAATAAATCAATTTAATAAAATAAATATACATACAAAAAAAAATGAAGGTCAAACAAGAAACTGGATTCCACAGGATATCAGTTGCTATTTAGTGCGTTAATTCTTTTTTCCTAACTTCATTAATACGCAATATACTTACCATATCCTATTCCTACCATCAAAATAGCATGGTTATACCAACAGCTCTCTTTATGCGTCTTACTTCCAAATATAATAAAGCGTCTCATCTTTATTCTGGCAGATATGTCTATTAACGTACTGTATGTTACCCACATAACAAACTGTCTTTCTGTTATGCTGATTCTAAGTAGTAGTAATTATGACAAACGTAAAAATAATTTACGCGTTTCGTTGTAGGATTTAATGGGTAACGATTAAGAAGCAAATACAATTTTGTTGATACGACATCCATATTTCCATCCCATTGAGTTATGAAGTCAAAGATGGCTAATTATGAGTATTATTACCTTTTGGGTGATGTTTTCCGGGTTTCCCTCACCTGTAAGTCAATTCATCCGTAAGTCGTCCAAGATATCCATGGCAAATAGTAACAATTATAATAATAATAATAATAATAGTCGTCTTTTCTCGAATAAGCTGCTCTTTCAGAGATTTATGTATACTTAGAGAGAGAGTGTTAATAATAATATTTATTAATATCATTACGCTATACCATATTATGTTCTTGCCTCTATTACTTGCAAGTTGCTTATAAAATGCAAATCGCCATAACGAAGATACAGTCTGGTTAAGTTTTAATTAGTGGTTACGGATAAATTGATAATGGACGTCTAATATATGTCGCTCTCTATTATCTGTTATCTAAAACCGCTGTTGCGGTTTTAGAGACACTTCTCATCATTAGGACAACTTAACTATACAGCAGAATAGTATCAACAATAGTGGATATGGACAATCTACTTGAATTGTACAGTATATTTTTTATTCGACCCACTAACGAAAATCTACAAATTTAAAAAATTATTTTAGGTTTTAGACAAAAGAACTAATTTTAAAAGAATTTTTGAATTTTACTAATTTATAAAATAAATATGAAAAAAATATTTTATATATTCTAATTTAATTTAATTAGTCCCCAGTCCAGATTTGAACCCGACTCTCTCGTGTCAAATTTTAATAATTAAATTAGTATCATATAGATTTATTAAAATTAACGAATTATACAGGTTGTCTCATTAGTTCGTAATTATTTATTATTTGTGTTATAGAAACGCAAACAAGTTTTAAATAAAAGTTGAATGGAATTAAAAAACGCGTAGTTTTAAAATATTTTTAGATACACAAGGTGTATGTGTAGTAACTCAGATGCACTACATACCTTCCTTCTTAACTCACCGCGACACATGCGTTATACACACTATCACCTTTAGATATCCTTATTTCACGTACGCGTGCCTTACTGAAGAAATAAACTCATCCTGTAGACTCCAAGTTATACTGCTGCTGTTGTTGATGCTGAAACTTCTCAGCTTCTGTACTTCTTCCTGCAACTGGTTTGCATCGGATTGGGATCTGCAGGATCTCGGATTTAGGGCTTCTTCTATTTCTTATGGAAGAGTTGCTTAGTTGGGGTCTCAGATTATGAATACCAATTATAAATAAATTATTGTTGATGTAAATGTTACAAATTTATTTTAGAAGTATGGTAAGTTGTAGAAAATAAAATATAATGACAATGGGTGCTATGATTGAACGTTTACGTTATCCGTAACGTACATATTAGACCGAGTTTTAACAGTAACGAGGCAAGTTTGTGTGATGAAAAACTGTTAAATTAGAACATAATAAGCGGAAAATAACAGTTATGTGTTGGAAAAAGTTTTCCATCATACGAACTTGCCTAGTTAATGTTAAAACTCGGCCTAACGTTACGGATAACGTAAACGTTCAATCATAGCACCCAATGTCTATCTAAATATTAAAAATATTGATGGGCAACCGAGCTTGCCACGTAAAGTAAGGATATCTAAAGGTGATAGTGTATATGACGCATGTGTCGCGGTGAGTTAGAAGGAAGGTATGTAATACATCTGAGTCACTACAGTATGTATATTTTTTAATTTGATTACCTTGTATTTTACTTCCGGTTTATAAAGGCTTGATAACACTGTACTCAACCCAAGAATTTTTTTTTAATATTACAAGGTTCCGAAGGAATTTATTTTCTTATGATATTAGAGAATGATGCAGACCCCAAATTAAATTATAATAATTTAGGTAGGTTTACATTGATTTCAGAATTGTTTAATATACAGGCTTCTTAGATACTGAGCTAACGAATGTGGTGATAAAAGTAATTTATTTTATACAGTATGCTTTGAAATATATCTTAAATATGGTTAATTTAAAGTTCAATTTGATAAATTTTTCAAATGCAACATCCTGTATAATATTTTAACATAAAATTCCTTATAAATTTGCCTTTCCAACGATACCAACATGTTAACCAATAAAACCTACTGCGTAATTGTTTGATATGTTTTATTATTGGAAATACTGTCACAATTATTCCTTAAATTGAATTAATTTATTTTCATTCGGCTCAGTAAATAATTTAACATCCTGTATGTTAAATTATTTCTGAATAGTAGGTCGATTTCGAAATACTTTTAAATCGTAGAGAATGCATTTCATAGTTTCATAACAATTAAGTTAAAAACTAATTGTTCATTAGTTTCTCAACATTTCTCAAACAATTTTACTAGATTTTATTCATTTGCTATGTTGTATAGAGTGTGTGTGAAAATGCGAGGTTACGATTTTTTAATTTTTTTATATTAAATACCCTGTATTAATTCATTTGTGGTATAACATACAGAATATTCCATTTAAAAAATTAAAAAAATCGTAACTTCGTATTTTGACACGTCCTATATTAACATAGGAAATGAATGAAGCCTATTAAAATTGTTTGACCATGTGAAAACAATAAAATATGCATAACTACCTCAAGGGTGTTTTGCATTAAAAATGTATTGCTCCCTGTTTATGGACCACCCTGTATATTTCAGAATATTTATTAATTATAATCATAGATTTTTTGTTATTTTTTTTTTTTTTTCGTATTTCCAATAATAAAATAGCTATCGATTAATTGAACACTGTTGGGACACCCTGTATATATGATAGTGATAAAGATGTTCATATCGTTGGATAGGTAAATTTATAAAGAATTTTATTCCAAAATAATATACAGGGTGTTGCATCTGAAAAAATTGTGCGAATTAAACTTAAAATTGGCCATATTTAAGACATGTTTCAAAACACTCTGTATAAAATAAGCCAGTACTAATAAGCTCTAACAATTATAGAACAGTGGTGCAAGGACCATTCATTGTGTATCAATCCTAAAAACACAGAAATGGTCCTTTTCACAAGAAAAAGGATGAAAATGGAATTAAAACCTCCAGAACTCCGAAAAATAAAACTAAACTTTACAACAGAGGTGAAGTACCTATGTCTCACCTCTGAGAGCAAGTTAACATGAAACTCGTATTTAAAAAACAGAGTTTAAAAAGCATACATTGCTTATGAAAAATGCCGCCGAACCGTAGGGCGCACCTGGGGTTTCTCCCCCAGAGTCTTGGACTTACACGGCTATCATATGCTTATATACAGTGCAGTTGTCTGGGTACCAAAAGCCCAAAAATTAACAGCTATCCGTAAACTAGAACCAATTCAAAATACGGCATGTCTCAACATCAAAGGAGCCATGAAAACAACACCGACCAGAGCGATGGAAGTCATTCTTAGTCTCACTCCCCTTGATATTTACATCAAGGAGGTTGCTCTGACGAGAATGACACGCCTCCGCACGGTTAAAATAGAACCTGATGTAGGATATGGTGAGGCGAGACGTCACTTTTGGCAAGAGGCACTGGATAGGCTCCCCCACTGCTTAAAGCGAACATGGACTCCATCTCACCAAAATATATCTTCCATAAGCCATATTTAGTTTTAATAGAACAAATAAAAGAGCCAGAAGTAGCAGGTACGATTCATATCTACACTGATGGTTCTAAAACAAAACAAGGCTCAGGACGTGAAATATACTCCAGATTATTAAACCTAAACATAAAATGGGCTGTGAGCAATAGTGCCAGTGTAGTTCAAACAGAGCTAACGGAGATTCTTATAGCAGCAAAAGAAATAACCAGAAACAATATAACTGGAAGAAACATGCTCATCTATACAGATAGAAGACAAGTACTACTCACCCTGACCAGACCACGAATTTATTCTGCAAACAGGAAATTTTGAGAACATACTCTGCGAAAGAATGCAAGTAGCTCTAAAAATTATAGAACAGTGGTGCAAGGACCATTCACTGTCTATCAGTCCTAAGAAGACAGAAATGGTCCTTTTCACAAGGAAAATAATGAAAATGGAATTAAAACTTCCAGGACTCCTAAACACAAAACTAAACTTTGCAACAGAGGTGAAGTACCTAGGTCTCACCTTTGGCAGCAAGCGAAGAATGTCACGAAGCTTTGGCCGAAGTATCCATCAACAATGTGATCACCCTAAGGTGGATCAAAGGTCACGCCACATCGAAAGGTAACCGTTTTGCTGATTCACTAGCCAAGAAAGCAGCCAAGCAAATACTTTTTGGACCTGGCCCGTCTATTGGCCTGACAAAATCGGTAGTGACAGACCTAATTAAAGAACATTCCCTTCTGAAATTTAAGAAAAGATGGGATGAAACAAGAAACTGCAGAGTTCCCAGGGAGCTCTTAAGTTATCCTGACAATACTATAGCAAACAAATACTTAACTATGACTAGACAGAATCTGCGCCTAGTCACAGGCATTTTGACTGGTCATTGCCAAGTACGGAAGCATCTCAATACCATGGAACTGTTAGAATCCGCCCTCTGAAGAGGGTGCAAACAAGAAGATGAGACCATCAAGCATATCCTTTACGATTTCTCAAAGCTTTCATTTATTAGAAGATTTGTGATCGGCAAGTATCGGCTAACATCGGCCGATATAAGAGAAGCACCTCTTGGCGACGTGTTACAGGTTGATTTTAGTTTTAACATAATTAAATGATTATCGCATTTAAAACATATTCTTAGTATAAAGAATGTAACATGTTGGATCTATTTTTAAAATAATTAAATGATTATCGCATTTAAAACATATTCTTGGTATAAATAATGTAACCTGTTGGATCTATTTTTAAAATAATTAAATGATTATCGCATTTAAAACATATTCTTAGTATAAAGAATGTAACCTGTTGGTTCTATTTCTAAAATAATTGAATAATTATGGCATTTCAAACACATTCTTAGTATAACGAATGTAACTCTTACTAAACATTGCTTTGTATTGATTAAAACTT